GATCTCTTAGATCAGTAGCCAAAACCAGAAATAGTAGAAAAATCTTTGCCAGAAGTAGCAACAAATGCTGCTAATGATGTGCTAATGTCGCCTACAATATTTGACAACCAAAGCAGAAATATTTTTTTTTCAAATTATGGTGATTGACCCAACATAGAAGACTTGTGCCAAGGGGCACTTTAAATCAAACAGACGAAGACTTAGGCATAATGATATAGATGGATATCAGTGAGTTAATGTGAAAATGCTACCATGTTATTTGTTTTTAATGGACAGATTTTATCTTTAAATAAAATTAAATATATCTTCCTATTAATACATACTAAAATAAGCGTATACAATTTCTTTTCATACGATTTTTAACATCATCTATAGTTTCTGCACATTGCCCCTGTTCTCACGTTCTCGCGAATTTAGCATAACCAAAATTAATTTTAGCACATTAGCAACATTTATAATCTATTAAGATAGCATCTTAAATTTATATTTGAACATAGCATTAGCAAATCAAATTTCCTTAGATTTATTTTTAAACAAAAGAGCAAAAAATCTTTGGAGTTGAGCGAACCATCGTGACAAATATTATTCATACATTTCTTACTTTTCTGCCACACTTTGCTGGTTTTTTATTCTTTTGTGTTTTTAAGAGAACTATATTAATACGTTTTCGATGAAAATGCATAATTAGTTAAGGCGGCTTGTTTGGGTTTTTGTTTGGTATTAAAGAAATTCGAATCCCAAATTAGCCACTTAATTTCGTTTAATTAATTTAAGTCTAATTTTTAAACCCCAAAGGGGGAATACGAAAGCAAAGACGACCGACTAGTTAGGCAGATATATGATGAGACTTTTGGGCAGATGATATTTCATCTGCATAATTATGCATTTTAGACCATCTGATTATGCATAAGTCTAATGCTCCAAGGTCGATTCGCTGTGTAAGTCTTTTGTTGATTGAAAGTTAATCTGAATCGATTGAAATGAATTTTTAAACGATGACTCGGCTTTGTATTTATTTGAAATATTTGGGTTTTCTTTATGAAATGCGTTTAAAAACAGATCTAGAGTTGCAGATATCAGTTGTTTATGGATTAAGAGGAACGGCATGTGAAACAGCAGATTTCTTTTTTATAGTAAGCGGATTTAAATGGCACTTATTTATTTTTAAATATTGTAATTTATTTATCTTTATAGTTGTAAAATGGTTTCCATTTCCCGTTTCCCTAAAGAAAATCTTAATGTTGTATTAAGTTAACATCAAATTTTACATTTATTATTTTTTACCGAAATAAAATTTAAAAAACAAGCTTAATATTTTCAGTTATAATAGAAACACCAACAAACATTATTTATTCATTGCTTACTAAAAGGATTTAAATAGAAAGTAGATACCTTAAGTTTTATATTTTAAGATTGAACGTAATAGTGTATTCCATTTTCCCTTTTTTAAAACTGAGAACAAAAATCGACCGGAAGATTTATTTGCTTTTATCACCTGTTTTTCATTCCCACCTCGAGCCCGCATAATGCAGGCAATTATAGCCTAACAAATTGCCCAACTCCAATCAGCCATGGCTGCATATAAACCAAAACGAAGAAGGCGATGCACTAAATCTTTGGGAACTCGAATCACTGGCTAAATGCAGCCTACAAGCCCGCATTAGCGAGGCGACTGATCGATGGTCGCTGCCAATTATGGCCAGTGATCTCTGGACCACGGCTAAACTACCATACCCAATACCTTACTATACTCGATACGACCACGATGGCGACGACCCACAAACCCAGCGACTCGACTCGACTGTTTGTCAAAAATGTCTTATGAATGGAACGTGAATCGGGTGATCGAGTGAATGAATCAGCTGTGTGAATGCAGCTGGGGCGTATTGGAAATGAATGAATTACCCGATAGACGAGGTGGCCAGCTTGTCTGGGCCAAAACTTTTGGTGCGTGGGCTTCCCCCGAAATTGCACTCCAAAACGGGCAAAAATTGTTCACAAGTACGAAAGCCCAATTCCGCGGCATTGACTTGGGCGCTTGTCTGGGGGCTGCAAACTCGACGTCTTCCACAATGAAATTGTCACTTTTCATTCGTTTGGCGGGCTCTTTCGAGTTTTTCTGAAATGGTTCGGCCCACGTTGCAGCGGAAGTGCCATTTGATTTATTCGCACTGGGTGATTTTATATATCTGTTTCTGTGTATTTGGCTGCGTGTGTGTTGGCAAATTTCCGGCCGGCTTGACACACATTTGAATTTGCATGTGTCGCAAAATTTTTAAGTGCCATAAATATTCATTTACGGCTATACATTTGATTTGGCTTTGACTAATGGTGACATTTCACTCGCCGATCACCTCAAGATGGTGTCTTGTTCATATGGCACATATGGCTTGAACTTGTCGTCTTGCTGCCTTTCCGGGAATGTGGGTCAATGCTAAATGATAGATGAAAGAAAACAAATATAAAGTGGAATGAAGAAGTAAAGAGTTCGCTTTATGGACGGTTTAACACATCTAAAAAGCAAGACTATTAAACAGAAAATACTTAAATTGGCTGAAGTTTAGGATGATAATCCTTTTAGTCAGTAAAAGTCTGTCGAATTTAAAACTATTTAAAAGTAACTACTTAAATTTGAGCCTTACGGAAGTTACGCCTTCCTTTCATACAAAAGAAAATCTTGTTATTTCTTAGGATTTTATATTATATTCACAAAATACAAAAACTTCAAGGAATACGTTTTTATTACAGTAAAAGATTTATTATACTGCCTCCTATTTTATTTTTTGTAGGGTCAAAATAAATATAAAGCTTTTGTGAATACCTGGCAATCAATTAAAATCTGAAAATTGTTGATTTGAAATGTTGATTTCTAGAAATAATAATCCTAATTATAAACAAGTGTTTTGATAAATACCAAATTTAATTAAATTTGGCATATTAAAAGATGTTTGAAAGTTTTTCCCTTAATTGCGTTTACAAGGCTTATGTGTGATGTTCATTACATGTAATTAAAAATTGGCAAACATTTTAGTCATCATTTTCTCCGTGTGCCCTGGGTTTTCCCTGAAAAGTGAGCGATGCCCTGTGCGCAGTGGTCCATAGATTCCAGCTGGCCAGTTGGCAACGCCTCGTTTTTCCCGCCCAGACTTTTCCCCGCAGGCTACGCTTAGGTAACTCTTCTCAAACGAACTCAACTCACGTTTTCACGAACTGCTGGAGAGCGCATCAAAGTGCAGAATCTCACGAAATTTGCCATTCGAGCGGCCATTTGGGTTATTTATGGTCGCCGATTTGTTTGCGACTCATTTAACCGGACAGCTCTCGCGGTTTTATGACACATTTAAAAGTTCGTTTCTGAGCTTACTTTACAATTCGCTGGTCAGGCTTTCCAAAAAAAAAAAAAATGTAAAAAGTTAACGCATAACTACCTGAAACGGAAAACGAATGAGAAACATCCAATTTCGCGCTTAATTTGATTTGTTTTTGTTTGTTTTATGCCCTACCAGCCTACCGTTTTGTTTTTCTTCCTCTGCCTTTCTCTTTTGAGCACTTATTATTCTTAGATTTATTTTCTTTTGTTTTGTCACCATTTTAACCTTTTAAAAGGGTTATATATTTGTTAAAATGCCACTCAAGTTTAAGTGCTGCTAGGCCAAGCCTTAAAATCCATGCCCACAGATTCCCCAGAATAATGCAAATTTAAGTAGACAGGAATAGCGGTATAATTATAGATCGCTTTGATTCACTTCCGACTCGCCGGGAAGCTGACTCACTCAAAAACCAACGATGACAAACACAATCCACTCGAATGCTGCTCTCAAAATAACAACAATGCCAACCATGACCCACGCAAAATGTGCACAACAAAAGGCGAACACAACCTACCAACAAGAAATCGTGTAATAAAATAAAAAAAATATACCACAACACCTTCCACCCACTCAGTGAACTTGAAAATGTTTTATCAAAACAAAGCCCTTCAAAACGATCTAATATAAAACACAATATAAAATTTATGTTAAAAGCAATTAAACCTAAACAAAACAAAACAAGCTCCAAAGTCAAAGCAATTAACTAAATATTTTTATAAAATTATGAGCAATAAAAAACCAACGCAGTGGAAAGAAAATGTTCCGTGTCGCTGAAGACTTTTTGCAGAGCACTTAGAAAAATATTAACAATTAAAAATAACCGTTAATTGGCAACAGTTATTTTTAAGAATTTCAAAACTTTTTTTTATATATTTGTGTTAATATTTCCATTTTAAGATTCCCAAGAAAAATATGTACAATTTCTAATATACCGAAATTAATGAAGACCTTAATGATTGTTTTTAATAAGAATTTGTTTGCTAGAATAAGGAGAGTTTTATTCTGAGTGTAATTTAGTGTTTGGCTTTATCCTAAAATCAAAATGAAGCTGCAAAAAGCTGTCGATTGTGGTTGTACTGGTGGTCAGTGGTCAGTGGTGCTTGGTGTTTTTTGTTTGGTGGCAACTGGTAAATGGTAAATGGTCCGTTGGGCGCTCACTTCAGGCATGAATTGATTTGGTCTGGGCCTGAGTCCAGTCGTCTGTCAATCAATTGTAATGAATACGCATTTTTCTATAGGAGCTCGGCGGGAGTGTTATCCCCTCTCCTTTGGCATCATTAAACCGCTGGGTCAGACGTTTCTCCATTTAACCCTGAGCTGTCCAATCGACATAGAAAACTCCATTTAGAATAACCCTGACCTGCCCTGCAAATCAGATGAAACAAACAAAATACTTTTACTCAGTGCTTATAAAACTGAGCGATTTAGCTTTTAAATAAATATAAACAAATTTTTAAATGACAAACTATAAGATATTTGCCACATTTCTAGGTAATTTTATTAATTCTCTTGTATAGACTAGTTTTGCGTGCTTTTATTTACATTCCCATTTACGACTTTTTGAACCATCATTTTATATCTAGCTTTTGTTAATGATATTTCGCAGAAGAACAAGCGGAGCTCGTGCCCTTTTGTTTTGACTATATTTATTTTAATGGGTCATCAAATAAAAAACCAGTTCCTTAGATGTTGTCACAATTCTGAGATTACATTTAGGGCTTCACGGTTAGCCTTTTGAATATGGAATCATTTTTTCGTACTGCGTGGTGTGGCAGCATTTCCATGGCTTAGGACAGCTGTCTTCCTCGCCACTTTTCAATTCCATCCACTCCATACAAATAAGGTTCCAATGAGTGGTATTCCTCCATTTCTCGTAAACGCAGGACCCTCCATTATTGCATGCTAAAAGATAAAATTTTCACATGATTGTTAAGTGCAGTCTTTATCAGCTTACGCTCAATAAATAAAAGTTCCACAGGATTTTTAAAAAGTAAAGCCCCTACTATAAGCCATACCACAATCATTTTTGAGGTGCGATTTATACAATTTAAAGTGATGCAGAAACAATGGATAAATAGTGTAACTAATGAAGTTAAATAGCATTTGTTTCAGTGCGATACCCAATCCAAACATGACAAATAACCTATTTATTTAATTTAAATTTTAAAAAGAAACGCACTTAATCCTAAGGTTTTTCTAATATAAATATTATGTATGTAGTTTCCATAGTTATTTTTCTCGTCATAACTTCTATTAAATTGCTATGAACTTTGTTATGAACTTTGTATACCGACCATTGCCTCCTTAGATTCCCACATTCCTCTGAGAACCAATTTACTAGTTATGTACTTACAAATTTGAATTTGCGGCTAAACCGCCACAACTGCGGGTATCATCGTTCCGCATTCTGTGGGCCTGCGCATTCCGCTGGGAACGTTTCGGTTAAGGAGAGAAACCGCAAATTGAATTAGGCCCGAGTCGGGTATTAAGAAAATCATTTGCAAAGAAATTACATAAAGGAAAACAAGTGCCAGCACAAGCGCGCAGCAGATGCAGACACGCAGATATATCGCCCACACACCTACATATAGCCGAACGATCCGCGGTTTGCCAATTTAGCAGAAATAAAACGCCCACATGGGCCGCAAAAACTTGGAATCATTGAGGGGGCAAACCGGCAAGTCACTAACATTCATTTGCGACCAAAGAGAGAGAGGAAAATGCGGCGGAAAATTCAAATCAATTTAGCGCAGACCGCAACTTTGAGTTGCGAACTGCAATGCGAAAGTCCAGTGAACAGCAGCCCAGAATTGTGCCGCGCATGCGTAGAAAAATAATAAAAAACTTGAAGGGGGGATCCCTTGTAGTAGCTAACCTCGCATAATTTAGCAATTTACATTTTTTTTTTCATTGTTGCATTCAATTTTGAACAAGAGAGTGCATTGGACTCTACCACAGGCCGCATAAATCAACCGCAACTCGGATCTTTCTCATTTTGGCCATAATTTACGAGCCAAGAATTACGAAACTGCATCCACGCAATTAATTTGTTTAATACCCATGAAATTAAGTATATTTCCACGGTCCATAGAACAAGGTGCGTGTCTAAGCTTGATAAATGCATATAAAAATGTAAATGTTTTCTCAAGTATGTAAGTACCTCCCGGCAACCCACACTCTATTTCAGATCAAACTCACTAAACAACCTCAAAGAAGTTGGAAGTGTAGCATATTGCAGGCGGCAGGAAAGGCTTACATATTCCTACAGGATGTCATCAATTTGAGTGCAGATAATAGTGTAACTGCATATTTTAAATATCTTAAACTGAATAAGAAACTAGGGGACTCGACATTGTCTTTAAGAAATGGCTGGAATATTTAATTAGTATTCTATCATAGACAGTGGGAAGTTTTATTAAAAGTAATATAATTAATCCACACATTTAAAATTAATCAATTTGAAAATATATAAATACAATTTAAATATTTATGGATAGCATTTGCTAGTATATTTTGATGGAATATTATATTATAATATGTTTATGATTCCCTCGATTGAAAGAGTTTTGTTTCCAAATCAAGGCCTGAATTCGATGGATCTGTACTATCGATAGCCCCAAAACCTCTTCGCTGTCGTTCAAAGCCCACACAGAAAATTGTAACCTGGGAGGACAGCCAACAAATCATCGTGTCCAGCAGGTGACTTGACTCCGACTTGCAGATAGCACTTTATCGATTGCATAAGTACAAATGGCAGTCGGCCAGTCTGTTTTCTGCTAGCCAAGATGCCTCGCTTGGCCAAAAGCCAGACCGAGTGGAAGGCTTTTAGATTCCTGTTCGGGGCTTGAAAGAGTGGGAAACAACGACAACCGCCAACGAGAACCACGTCCGGTCCGTTGGCAAAGTGGATTACAGGCTGTTGGGCTTCGACTTATACTCCAACTTCCATTTCCATATCCACAGCCATTCAAGCCCACTTGACAAAAACAAGAAAGAGTGCAGAGAGTGTATTTACTCGACCATCGAATACCCAATACATACTGACAAGTGATGTGAATGGATAAAACATATTTTGGTTTTTTATTTAGTGAAAGACATAAGTTAAGGGGATATAAACTAGTATAAATAACCACATCTTTTATATATTTTTAGCTAGTGATTTTAACAAAGCATTTAGCTAATCCTTTGTTTTTTTGAACTGTCTAATACATTGGATCAAAATATCTACCTTTTTGTGCTAAAAACACGTCCTTATATAAGTCTACAAATCGAATTTACCCAATCAAGTTACAATTACTGGGTAGAAAAGCAGGCAAACATTTGCTCGCTTATTTATTGCAAATCAAAAACCGCAGTTTGATATTTTTCGCCGGCTCTCCTGCTTTTCCCGCGTGGGTCGTCGCAGCTGCCATTCTCTGGAGTGGCGAGGAATCGGAAAGGAGGCTCTGGAAAAAGGAGGAGGAGGTAGCCACAGTTCGCAGCCCACATGGACTGGCTTATCATCTTTGAACTTCACTGGCGAAGTCAGTGTGGAATGGGGATGGCAAACAATTGGCCATCCCGATGCGTGACCCTTGCGAAAAGTCAGCAGCACATGGCACAACTTATGAACAACTGTTCCATCAACAAGTGCGCCCGCCTGACATTTGTTTGGCCGCAGACAAAAGGCAATTTGCATATTGCAAAGAAGCAAAAAAAAAAACAGAAAATGTCAAATGCGGCAGCAATTGCCGGTGGCATGTCGTGTGCGCAGGCGCAACAGCAGCGAATGCACCAGATGCCGCAAAAACGAGGGAAACTTTGTCTCAGGGGTGGCAGAATGCATGTTGGGGTTGCAAGTTGCTAGCTTCAACTGCAACTGACATCCTCAAATTGACCGCCTAATTGGGGAATGCAGTATGCAAAACATCAGATGACAGCAAACAAATTGAACTTTTTAGAGCCACTAGTTGAACGGATGAGAGGGATGTTTCCCTACCACCTGCGAAGTTAAGCAATATATTTTAAAAATATTTATAAATTGTAAAAAACAAATATTACTACATATTTTAAGTATCTGAAATACATACATTTTTTTCTTTGAGAGGTGTTTTGGGTGTAGAAGCAACTAGGTTTTTGGGTATAATGACCAGTTACTTTTGGTTCTTTATAGTAGTTTTCATTATCATTATCATAATTGCATTAAAAAGTAAGTTCTACGTTTCAAGAAATAATTTGCTCCCATTGCTTCGTAATTCCGTTGAATTCAATCAATTGTCAGCAATTTTTTCACTCAAAATTCGTAAACAAAAGCAAACAAACCAACGCAAATGAAAATGCTGACGATTGGTGGCCGGCATTTTTACATAATATTGACACAGAAAGACAAAGTGCTAATAGAAATAATAAACCAGGCAGGCGGCGTAGATTAAATCAATTACGAGTACGAGCCAAGTGCAGTCGAGAAGGAATTCCGCTGATTGCCGCACGGCATTGGTTTAAAATTTAAACTTTAAATGGCCAGTTTGTGGGGAAAAAAGCCGAAGGAGGAGAGCAGGTGCAGCTAAAAAGCCAAACCGACGATAAACGATCCTACAGAAAAAGCTGAACAGGCGAATACCTCTTTTTGCCGACTGAGATTGGGTCCAAGACAATTGACAGTTGCACAAACGAGATTTAATTGACAGAGTCAATTTATGCAAACGGTGGCCATAAAACAAGTGCAACGAGATTTGTGTATTTAGATTTGAATTTTTTTCCTTTTTTTTGACTGTTTGATCTGGTTAGGAGTGGAAAACGGAAAATGGCATCTAATGAAGTCCGAGAAGGGAATCGGAATTAATGGAATTGTTGGCTTTGTGATATCAATATTTAGCTAATTAAAATAATTGGTAAATTGTTTAGATAAACCGCCTTTTAGGACATTATTCAAGTCTTTCAATTTAAACAATCGCTTGTGTTTCCTATAAAATAGATCTAAGATGATTTTATTAATTTTCGGTTAATTCTTTATTATTAGTATTATAACCCATTCAGGCAAATTTAATTTGGAAAATGATTACCCTTTTAAAAATATTAAGGATCCTCTTTCGTATTATAAATATTTTCCCACATTCGTATTTGATGCCCATAAAATATTAAATATAATGATTTTTATTCATTTTTGATTACTCTTAAATTATTAATATTTTACCCAATTTAGCCAGAATAAATTGCGATAAATGAGTTTGATAACCCTTTACGAAATAATGGTTTAACGTCTTATGTTATAGTATAAAAGGGGATACTATAATATAAGACGTTAAAAAATAATCATGTTGTGCAGATTATGATAATCCGAACGACTAATTCTGATTCCAGGAATAATAAATAAACACCTGCTTGTGGACCCTTTGAAGGGCTTCTCGTAATTTCCTCATTACCATTTCGAAACGCTTTAAACTGTTTCGGTTTTTTATGCTTGCTCACTTATGTTTTAACCTGTTTACCCCTTGCCAATCTTTTTTGCAGATCTCCAGTCCATCCGACGTCTCCTGGAACACGATGCCAGTGGATCCGTGTGCCCCTCCTGCCGCATATCCTTCGACAAGGGCAAGAGACGGAAACTGATCGACACCTGTGGCCACGAGCGGTGCTATTCCTGCATGTTCCGCAACGACCAGTGCCCCATGTGCATGAACAGCTCGCTGAAAGGTGAGTCCGAGTCGGAGTCCAGGTCCAGGTCCATGTTCAGGTCCAGGTCCACTCCTCCTTATCCCCAGATATGCTGTTTTCCGTGTCTCTCGTCGCTTTTTTCGCATATCTCTCGGATATGCCATATGAGGCTGCAAATATTTTGTTACATGTTAAGTGCAAAATGCCACAGAAATTGCACTGCGACCATAATATTGGCCGGTGTTTTGTATTGCTTTTTTTTATGTATAGGAATGTTGAAACAAATGGATATTTAAGTGGTGGAATACACATCTTTAAGCTTTTAAAAAAAGAATTATACAAAATTGTTTTTAAAACTATAAAATTATGGGGCTTAACCGTTCATTTACAT